GGGGGGGGGGGGGGGGGGGTTGGCAAAAAATTATTTAAATTTATCTACTTTGGCTGGAAAACCCATATCTCATGTCTTAAAAAGTCATGCATGGATGAAGAAATATTGTACTCATATTAATAGTATGTGTTCATACGCATGACCACTACTCATTTACCAAACACGAAAGTGGTTCCCTTTTAAAAGAACTAAAATGATTGTATGTGCAATTGGCTTTCCAAATAGTGCTTTGGAATGCAAGGGGATGAATTTTTTGTCCTCTACTTTTTTGAAACTAATTATGTCCTTAATTGCCATTTCATGAATGTAATGAAAATGTGTATCCTACTCAAAGAGTAAATATGACAATGGGAAAGGCTGCTATTAGATGAGCAACAAATTTGGCTAAATCATCGGGGGTACTTGTATTTTATCCCTAATTTTTAATAAGGATGAGATATACAAAGTATCTTTAATTTTATATGGTAAAAGAAAGGCTCAATTTATATTTCTCTTTGTACGAAAATAATAGGATCGAGTGGAAGGTAGAATCTTTTCAAAATTCATATCTTCACTTATTGGAAATGAAGATTAACAAATAACTATAATAATTTGAAGGAAAGTTAAGGTTCCAAATATGCTCTAAAGGCTATCATCCGCTTATATAAGTAAGCGAAAGAATATCAGAAATCTATATAATTCTTTGAACTGAATATGCATAGCCCATAATTATATCGTATAGTAGATATAGTTTACCATTACTGAGTTGTATTTCATGTTCTGTTCCCCTTTTTTTTTTTTTTTTCATTCTTTGACTTTCTTGGTAAAGATATTTTTCTTTGTGATAAAAAGAAGTCGTGATTATTGAATGATTAGGGCGTTCCCAATGCACAAGTCTCCCGCCATTGCGGGGTCTGGGGAGGGTTAGATATACGCAGTCTTATCCCTGCAAGCAGAGAGACTGTTTCCAAGATTAAATATTGAAAGATTAAATACCTCAATATGTTAAGAGAATATATCACACAAAACAGTGACTTTCTGATTCTGTAGTTCGGACTAAATTACCATATGTCTTATCCATCCCAAAAGGTGAAAAATTGGAAAAACTACCTTCAAGACACATGTGGGTGTGCCTGTCATAAGATAGTGTAAATGTTTAACAAAATAGAGAACTGGAGCTGTAATATCTATAGCACTTATGGAGCAGGATTTGGTCTAATCTTCTATTTAAGAAATTGTTAGTAAAAGAGAGTTTGTATCCCACCTTGAATAATTTGGACCTCCCAAGGTAAGTTTATATACTTCAGGGGATATTCCACTCATAGCCAATTATTTTTGGGTTGGATGCTCTAATAGAGTAACATGGTACCAATTTGAATTTCCCAGAATGCATAGTTGTTTGTTTATTTGTTAGCCCCACATGCGAGCTGGGGTTCCACGTGAGGGAGAGTGTAAAAGAGAGTTTGGATTGAAGTATCAGTTTTCAATCTAATACCTTGTATCCATTTAGAAACTAAGCATTATTCTTATTATTTTGATTTCCTTATTTGGACCTTTGGTGAGAAGTGTATAAATAGCTTATTTGATTGTGATTATCTTTTGTCATTGAATGTTTATCAATTGAACTTGAAGTTGTCTCTCTCCCATCTTCTTTTTCTTCTCTCTATTTCGTCTTCATATTCTCAATTCCGGATATGGTCCAACACCCTCCTCACATGCAACCCCCCTACTTGCACATAGAACAACCAACAACCCTGGCAATATGAACAAAGAAATTAAGTGTAGAGCATGCAGATGCAGGAGTCCAAATCCAAACCAATTAATTCACACCTTCGCAAAGCTCAGCTGTGCTTCTGTGTTGAAGTATCCAAGTTAATTGACTGGCATTGTGTGGAAAGACCTTTTGGGTTCATTTCACTAGTTTGAGGTGTTTCATATCTTTGAACAGGTCTAACATTCACCATCTCAACAATCGTTCTGGGCATCACCAATATCATCCTTGTGTCTCATAACTAGACTACAAGTGGTATATTTTTCTTGGTAATGATCCTAATTGTCAAAGTATTTATGCTTGAATGGTAAAAAAAACATATCCATCTTGTCAAAAAAAGTTTTGAAGGGATAGTATTTCGCCTAGAGTAAAGGATAGAAATTTAAAAAGGTGACTAAACAAATGGTAAGTTTCCAAAAACATCTTATTATTACTATTGTACAGAATAGTTATTGAAAAGATTTGATATTAAAGTGAGATGGAGAATTTTAGTATATATAGAAGCGAGTAACGTGCTATGTGTTTGTTCCGCACCTCATTGTAATTTTCCTTCTGTGTAGGTGTTTACATTCTACTAACTTATTGCAGTCCAAATAGTGTGCCAAGTGGCATTATGATGGACAATAGTGATTCATCATGATGCTCTCTTATCATACTGAGTGGCATCATCTTAGCTAAAGAACCAAGATCAGTCAACCCGTCTGCTTCGTCTATATATTGACAGAAAATAGGTTTATTGCAAAATAATTAGTAAAAAAATGGGGGAGGGAAGCCTACCAACCACCAAAGAAGAAAGACAAGGATGCAGATGCATTTGAGGGAAGATATGTCAAAATACTTAGTTTTTTTTTTCTTTTTCAGATTGCTCTGAAGTAGGTAAAAAGTTTATAAATATTAGGAATGAAAATTAAAACAAAATTGAAGAGTTTTTTTTTTCTTTCTAATCGATGGCTTACATCATCTATTCTGGAGAGTGACTAGATTAGGATAGCTTTGGGAGCCAATACAAGTCCTCATGAAAATCACTTGTGGTAGTCAGTATGATGCACCATGAGAGGGAGGGGAATGGGTATAGCTTATAGACGTGGAGCAGGGTGGACACTTGATTCAGTTCATCTTCTATTTTCTTGTACCCTGAAGTTTGAAAAGGAGCTTAAGCTACTTGAAAACCTGCCTGATGCTAATCTTTTATTTACTTTCCTTGAATTTCACAAATAATTCTTTCGTTAAAAACTAAAAAGATAAAGGCCCTTCCTATTTTTGGCATTACTTAGTCTTAGGGCCATTCTTTCTCCGCTGGTTCCTTTTTATGTTTACCCCCAAATTATATACATGAATTCCATGAAGTCAGAAGAGCAAAAAGGTCTCATACTGAACAGCTGATTTATACCCATATCGATCAGCTATTACGTGCATATTTCTTTTCCTTATTTTCTTTAAGTTTAACAACTATATTACCTGTGCACTTCCACTACTCTAATCTGCATTCATGTTAAGAGAAGTGCCAAATTTGCTTGCCTTTCTTAAAATTCTTCTTTTCATTTTTCATTCTAGTATTCCATCTGCAATGTTCATTAGAACTTGATGGAGCTCAACTTGTTTATGTGCCTTTTAGATGCCCTTATGACTTTTACCATGCTAACCTATGCACCATCTTTGATCGTTTGAGGGGAAAACTATTAAAATTCTCTAAAGCCCAACTAATAGTCATTCTGAATTCGTTTTATCTGTTGGTGTTAGAATGTTTAATTCTTTGAGTTCTGACATCATGCTTCTGTATTTTGAATGTGCAGGAAAAAATCTTGAAATCATTTTACATATATAATTTATATCTGATTAGAGAAAATTGCATATTTGTGAACTGTTCATTTAATGGAACAGTGCCTCTCTTTTTTGTTTCCTTATTATTATGTCAAGCTGTCACATTGAGGGCGTGTCTGATAGTATTGCCTTTGACATTCTATTTGAGAATATTGTTTCCTAATTTTATCGAGTCATTTCTTTGGCTCGGAAATTGTATGGCATATTCTTTTTCTAGTCTAATTATGTGATGATTTTTGCAGCTCCAGCTGTTCAGTTGTTGTTTTGTTCACATCTAACAAAATCTAAGGCCGAGAAACTTAAGGCACACATGTTACAAGCATTTGAGACTGTTCTGGGGTCCCCTGTGACAATTGAAATCAGATGTGAATCAGGGAAAGATGTAAGGGTGGGGATGAATGTGCCACTTACATTACCAGTATCTCAGGGTGGTTCATCTCAGGTGCACATAAACCCTGGGATTCTTAGCAATAGTGGGGTGACTATGGCAGGGCATGATGTTATCGGCAGAAGGGCTGTGAAAGATAGAAATGGTTTAACTCAAGCCCAACAGTTGCAGTTTGATTCTGCTGAAATGGGAAGGAATGAAATTGTTGAAATAGAAGCCTCTCCCAGGGAGCCGAATAATAACAAGCATATTGATGACAATTCACAAGCCGATAAAAGACATTTGGAAAGTGCTTGGACAGGAGAAGCCGCATCTTCACATAAGAATTCTTCTATGGCTTCTCTTCCAGGCGAAAGAAAATTAAGGGAGCAAAATCGAAGTCAGAGCCTAGTAAGATGCAAGGTGTCCCTTGCACAAGTAATTCAGCAGGCAGAAGGATCTACAGTGCGAAATGGATGGTCGAAACGGAAAGCTGTTTCTATTGCTGAAAAGCTTGAGCAACAGAATCTGTATGTATCTATTTCCCAAACATTCCCATTTCATCTCATAATTTAGATGTGTACTTTGTTGGAGAATATGTATAGAAACAAATTTTCGGTAAATTGAAACCAAACACTTATCATCTTCAACTATAGAACAACGAGGATGCTAAAACCTTAAAGGCAGGTTGTTAACACTCAAAAGGATATGGTAGATGTAATTAGGGGATTGGAGGTTCTTTTGTCAAAGCTTAATGTAATCTTCTCATTCAGGAAACTACCCAATACATGTGATGGACCTTGTTCACAACCTTTGGATTTCTTTATTTAGGATAAATTTTGCCTAAATTTTGGTTTTGAGAGGGTGACCTGGATCATTTGAGGGGTGGGCAGAGCATATGTGCCCTTTGAAACAGAGAGTTTTGATCGATGTTAAATAGAGATGGGATGGTTTTGCCTGTTAAGCAAGGAAAGAAATTTTGATGCAAGCATGCTCTAAAAGGTGCTGGATAGATAAGCAAAGATATTGTGGTTGAAAAACATTGAAATGTGTCAAGGTATGTTGAAAATAAATGCGATTTTCTTTTATAACAATTGAAGATTTTATAAAATTGACCAAGTTATGAATATGAAATTGACTAGAAACTACATAAAAGTTTATGATTTCACCACCTCACATTAGTTAAAATCATTTTTCTGTGGTATATTTTTTGATTTCTAAGGCATGCACACGAGAAAGTTGCGACCCTACAAAAGTTTTTTTGAGGAGTTGTAGAAGTGAATGCCAAGTCTGAATCAGTCAGCACATACCTTACCCACGAAAAGGGTTTCTTTGACAGAGCTATATAGATTCCAACAATTATCTTTCAGAATTTTGTTTCCCTAGTTCCAAATGAAGCTGCATTGGCAGAGGTTTGTTTTAGAGCACTTGTTTCCATTAGTAATCCTCATTTAAAAGTTCATTGTATTTTTGGAAGTTTGAAGTCCACTCTCAGCTGTGTTGGAATATTGTTAAATTACTTCTACCAAGGGAATATTGTCAGGACAATTACTAGAATAGTTCTCAGTTTGTTAGGTATGAGTTTCATATTAATTAGTTTGTTTGGATTATATTCAGAGACTTAATGGTTGATGGTTTTTGTGTTACAGAAGATTGGAACCTAGATCAAGAAGCCTGCTTTGCTGGAAGGCATCTAGAGTAACACGTCAGAAGGTAATTCTCAACAATAATATAATTATCGTTCAACGAACTTTCCAACATCAACTTTTTTTCTTGAAGATTTACTCTCAAGACTGACTTGTCTCTTCCGCGTTCTTATATTTTGTAAACTTTTACAATGAGCACATTCCACCTTGAAATGCAGAAGGCTCGCTATACCCACTTATAATCTAATGCTATTATGAGTTGCTGAAGTACTAGAGCTAATATGGTTTAATGTCTAAATGATGGCAACGCTGTTGCTTGGTGTGGTGCAAAATTTATTTGTCACAGTCCGAATGAAAAAACTGCACTAATGTGTAAGCTGTACATGGAATATGCAAACACTTGAACAATAAATGGTAATGATGTACTAGGAAGTAAGGCCCTAGAGAATAAGTAGTGAAGGAAATCCTCTTGATCACAGTAGATATTCTGTTGTGTTCAATCTTCGAATGGTAAGTCCACTTATGTACTCCATGTTAAATGGAAGCAGTACTGGTGGCATGTGGGAATTTATAACATGCGTGATCTGTAGAAGACATGCCATACTTCTTGTTGTGGGTGGGTTGGATGTTTCGTTTAGTCCAAACTATTGCTCTAGATGCTTTGTTTAGGATTTCCTGAAACTGCAACGGCTTCCATTAGATCTGTTGGCAATATGAGCTATAAATTGCTTTTATGGGTAATAGTTGCTGTTGCAATCTGTAGATTTTCAATACTGAAATTAAGCTAGTTGTTCTGCAACATGTATTTTGAAATTCCGTGTCTTTATATGCTCTTGTTGATTCATTTGAAGATTTTACTTATGAACTTTTATATATGCAGCTTTCACATTTGAAATTTAGGATGAGGAAGTCACGGACTTTGCTGAAATTTGTCTCCTGTGGAAAGTGTCTCTCTACTAGGTCTCCAACGTAACGCAAGAAGTCATCTGAAAGCTTTGGTGCGGACCTCAATCATAATCCTTCCATTCATTCATCAGCCTGTTGTTTAGAAGGTCAATTCTATTAGTCAAATATCTTCCCTCAATAAGAATAATTTAGAGTAGAAGAAATTCAATTTTTAGCGCCCTTTCATGTTTTTTTTTTCGAGCTCTTATGTTGTTAGGTCTCTTTGATTTCCAAATAATTGCATTTTTCTACCATAAATTGTGGTAAATTTTTTTGGTATGTTGGAAACTGTTCTCTTTGATTAGTTGTTTGGACACAATACATGACCAAGTGTGTCTAGATGTGCCTAGCACTAGTTTGGCCCCTCCAATCCAGCTTACCTGGAAACAATCAGCTAAATCCCTTAAATATGAAGATAGTTTCCAATGGCTCCAAAGGTTTGGGTGTATTGCTCTTCTTTTGACTATTTGCATTTATTTATCTTCTTGTAGTGTAGGAAGGGTAAATAGATCATAATCAGTTCCAATATTCATCCACTGTATATTGGTGGGTGACCCATTTATATGGTGGGTTCCACTTACATACGGGGGGGGGGGGGGGGGGGGGCCGCC